GGTAAAATTATAGTTCATTCGACGTTTCTCGACGAGAGGAACACGATGCTGGCAAACGTAATGTCATGGCTTGTTTGAGTCAACAGTTATTGCCGAAAAAAACGCTTTTCGTGAAAACGGCTATTTTAGGAATTTTTGCCCTGTGGAGGCTAAACCGTTGATCTGAGGTCAAATCTGAGAACATCACTCAGAAAGGTCTGTAAAAGGGCTATCGAATGCGCATTTCCGCGGCGCTGTAGCTCTATCGGTTCCCGAGATAGCCGTGGGCAGTTTCCAAAATGTTGAAATAGTCAACATTTTACCTTTGGTGACCTCTGGTGACCTGACCTTTGACCTGACCCAAAAAAATGACTGAAGTGTTTTCGTATTTATTTTGGACGTTCTATCGATTGCCGCTTACCGCGTGTCGCTACGTGGCCCAGGAGATGAGTTAGAAGGGGGGGGGGGGTGTTCAGACAACCCCCACCTCGGCCCGGCGCGGAATCTCAGAGCACCGGCCCGGCGCGGGTTAAGAGTGGTTTCGGAAGGTCTCGTAGAGACCGTTCGAACGCCGCCTCGCGGGGCTCGATACGACCATTGGTTCCTGTCGTGGGTACGGAAATAGCCCAGACGGTGCCGGGCAGTGGCGTAGACAGGGGGGGATGGGGGCCATGGCCCCCCCTTTCCGCCCAGCCGCCCAGATGGCGCCCCAATTAGCGCCGACTAGGCTGATGCCGCTTTACAGAGGGAACATGAATTAAAAAGTGATGTGCAGGCAGGGATCGAACTCAATATCTCTTTGGGGGTACCTGGACACCCCAATGTCCTCCAGGGCACCCCCAAATAGGACCTGAGCCCCCCAATGTTTAAGGGCGCCCCTCCGGAAACCAGAATATTCCGAACCCCCAGGGTCGATGGCGCCCCTGAAAGCCGCTGGCACCCACCTGAACGGAACAGTCGCCCCATTAAAGGTTGATTGCGCCCCTCTGAAGTTCACAGCTGCCCCATTCGGCCCCACCCAAGATCGATGGCGCCCCCTGAAACCACTGGCGCCCCTCTAAAGCACCCGCATTCTTCTCAAGATCACAGTCGCCCTATCCGAGATCAATAGCGCCCTCAAGAGAGCCACTAGCGCCCCCCTTGAGACTGAAGTCGTCCCGCTTGAGACTAAAGTCGTCCCATTCAAGCCCAATGGCGTCCATTCAGAGCGTCCGTTGCGCTTCTGAAGATCACAGTCGTCCTCATCCGAGGTCGCTGGCGCCCCTCAAAAGTCACTGGCGCCCATCTAAACGGAGATCACATCTGCCCCATCTTAAGATCATGGCAACCCTCTGAAACCAATGGCGCCCTTCTAGAGTACCCGGCGCCCCTCTGAAAATCATATTCGCCCCATCCGAGACAACGCCCCTTGAGACTACAGTCCCAACATCCAAGCTCAAGGCGCCCCTCTAACTAGAGCGTCCGGAGTCCTGCTGAAGGGAACAGCGGCCCCATCCATGCCCAATGGCGCCCCTCAACTCCCTTCTAAAGATCACAGTCGCCATCAATCCAAGGTCGCTGGCGTCCCTCAAGAGCCACTGGCGCCCACCTGAACCGGGACTTCAGTCGCCCCATCCTAAATCAATGGCGCCCCTCTGAAACCACTGGTGCCCCTCTGAAAATAACAGTCGAATCATCCGAGATCAATGGCGCCCCTTCAGAGCGTCCGACGCCCTACTGAAGGCAGCAGTGACCCCATCTGAGCATTACACCCCTCTAGATCACCCGGTGCCCTTCTTAAGGTCATATTCGCCCTATCCGAGTTCGTTGGCGCCCTCCAGTAGTCACTGACGCCCATCTGAATGGAGACTTCAGTCGCCCCGCCCCATTCAAGATCGATAGCGCCCCCCCCCCCGAAACCACTGACGCTAGGTAGGTACCTAATTATTTGACAATGGGGCTGTCTCATCGACACCAAGGACCCTTTTCAAGATGCAGCAGCCAGGCGGCGCCGAGCTGGGCTAGGATGTGCCAAGCGTTTCTTATAAGGCAGCCTCGTTAGTGCCACCCCTCGTTGCGATACCGCCCCTCAATGCGACGCCGCCCCTTCACCGTACAATGCCACCCCTCAATGCAAGTGGTGCCCCCCGGCCCCCAGCGCATTGCCGCCTATTATTGCGATGCCGCCCCCGCCTAGCAGTGCGGTGCCGCCCCAGCGTACGCTACACCGACGGAACGATCACTTTTGAAACTTTCAGAGATTGATTAGACTAACAATATGTATAAAATGTTTATCTCGGACTTTTGATATCCATGACCTAAGGTCAGGTCAATTTTGCGGCTTCTATTGGAGAAAATTGAAATGCGCCTCTTTTGGACGAATGTGGTTCAAAACCCTCTCAAACATCGGTTCATAGGTTAACATAACGCACTGAATCGACAAAATGCACCTGTGACCCTTCTGTGTGCCCCTGAGGTCATCTCAGGTCATGAACGGTCACCAGCATTTCTTTCGCTATACCTTTTGATAGAGACGTGCTAAAGCGGTGAAAACACGTCAGATGTGTTCAGCTCGACGATACGGATCGAGTGATATGCAGCATGACCCTTTCCGTCAAGGTCATGACCTTGACCTGAGGTCAAATTTTCAAAATGACCTTTCAAGGTCAACGTTCGACGCGTTTCGATGAGAGGAGCACGATGCTGGCAAAATAAATGTCGTCACTGTCTTGAGTCAAAAGTTATTGCAGAAAACGATTTTAATAAAAACTGCTATTTTTGGAGTTGTTGCCCTCTGGAGGCTAGTGGCAGTCAGTCACTGGAGGCAGTCATGCATGTCCACAAGTAGGGGCTGCACGCACTAGACATCGAATTGTAAAGGTGATGTGTGGAGAAAAAATCCAGAACGTATGTAAGTGTTCGGTCTCGCTGCTGGTATGACAATGAGTTGAGATCTCATGGTGGATCTCATGGTCTTAAATGTTCAAGTCTTTCCTTGATCCCAATTTAGGCAATGAGTCGCAGCGTGAATCCTACATGCATGCGTTTTGAGATTCTAAGCACAGCCACCCCGGTCGACCACAGGCTGCAGCCCACCGGTCACTTCGGATCAGTGAAAGAGCCCGCACACAGAAAAATATTAACACCGTTAGCGGTGTAATTGCACAGTACATATCTGAGCACTTGAGGAAAGTTAATTTAGTCCCTTCCCCGCTTAAATTACTCGCGCTTCTAAATGAACACCAGGAAGAAGGTAAAAGAACACTGTTAGGAGGGTTGGGTGTTTTGCTACATGTAGTAAAACACCCAACCCTCCTAACAGTGTTCTATTACCTTCTTCCTGGTGCTCATTTAGAAGCGCGAGTAATTTAAGCGGGGAAGGGACTAAATTAACTTTCCTCAAGTGCTCAGATATGTACTGTGCAATTACACCGCTAACGGTGTCAATATTTTTCTGTGTGCGCATACCTATTTTTCTTTTTTGCAAAGAATAAAGATTGTGCCTATCGATCAACGTATACTTATTTTATCGTTTCGCATTCGCATGGATGCGTTTGAGAATAAAATGTCCGTAGCCTGAGCTCGTTTCCTGTATCATGCTAAAAATTCATCCAGATCAAGGTTTTTTGATAAAAAAAAAAACACCAGGCTGCAAATTGCATTAATTGGATTTTATTAAAATCAGCGAAAGCTGGTTCTTATGTATTTTGCAACACCTAGTAAATCATGCATGAACATGACGTTACATTTTAGACTGACGCCCCTGTCACTAGCTGACAATGGCGCCCCTCTTAAGGGAAAAAGTCGCCCCCTCGAGCACCATGCCCCCCCTTTCGCTGATCTCTGGCTACGCCACTGGTGCCGGGTTATGAGCATGAGTGTCGATTCTGCTGAGATGGAGGCGTCCGAGCACTGCAAATCCGCCGCGACCCAAGCGGTGGCATTGACCCGCGCTGTCTGATGCGGCTCCAAAGTCGAGCCGGCGTGGAGTGTGGAGGGCTCGGGCACCCGCAACTGGACAAACATCGGCCTCCATGGACGAAGGTATAGTTGTATAATTTTTAAAACCCTCGCCCGCACATGGGGTGGTTGCCACCCCCCCCCCCCCCGGTAGTTTTTCTGCTCTGCACTCAACATTTTTAGAGTTAGAAGCTTGATTTCGTATACCTGCTCCTCTATCCTTTCTTGATGTCCACTGAAAATTTCAAGTTTCTGTGGTTTTTGGTTTCGGAGATATGACCTTGTTTTTTCTGGTCATATCATGACCCAACTGACCAATTCTCAACATCTTGCGTTGGCTATGGGCCTTGTGAGCTTTTGACACCTTGATTTCGACCTTTTTTGCCAGTCTTACCTCCCACCTATCAGGGAACATATTGTTCGACGATGTACAAAGGTCAAGGTCAGGGTCAAGGTCAACCTAGGTCATATAAAATAGTTGCGTTTTAGGCAAGCTGAATTTACTTTTTGTGAAGTTTTTTTACTGCATTTTTGGTAAAAGCTTCTCAGATCATAATTTCATGTAATATGGACACATAAACACTCGGTGCACACATCAGTATACACACAGACACACACAGACATACAAACACATATCATTGACCTTGACCTAACTTGACCTGAAATGACCTCAGCAGTAAAAATATGGTCGGGTAGTGTGACAAAGAGGTTCTAGCTGGCTTGGCACCAGAAAACGGCATCGTCATCGGTAGATGATAAGCAGCACACTTGATATCCAAAGGTGACCCAAAACAGCAACATTTTTTAGTTTGACCTGACCTGGAAGGTCAATGATTGACCTGAGAAGGCAAAACTGGGTATCATTGGATTTATTTCTTCCCAAAGAATCTTTTTGGTCTTTACCGCGAAGCTCATCTCCAACAGGAACGAAATGGGGCGGGGAGGGGGGGTGGCAACCCCCCCCCCATGTGCGTTCTAGGATGGGAAAATGGCGTGTGCGGGCGAGGGTTAATTCGCATTTGCTATGTGTCACAAATCGTCAGGCAATTCGTGATGAACATTTTTGGAACTCGTAATCTTACCTGATGACATTGGTTCCATCTTCTTCTAGTTTTTGAAGGTGCTTGATTTCTTTTTCAATGAAGTCTTCTTGATTTTTATCGGAGTAGGGTATACGTTTCACTGCCACATTTTCCCGCCTTCCGCACTGTCCCCTGTGTGCAAAAACATCCATAGTGTCACTACTTCCAGACAAAAGGGACACATTTAACAATATTATTACCGGCTAGATGAGGAAGCGATATTGCATGCAAGTGCCAAAAAAGGTTGCATAAGCTGCATGGAGTTCGTTTTTTAATCCGCGCCTTGCTGGAAAGGGGATGAACACCCCTCCCCCCTGTGGTTTTTGGCACATGTCACCTCTCTCTCTCTCTCTCTCTCTCTCTCTCTCTCTCTCTCTCTCTCTCTCTCTCTCTCTCTCTCTCTCTCTCTCTCTCTCTCTCTCTCTCTCTCTCTCTCTCTCTCTCTCTCTCCCGTGGCTCCATGACCATTTTTGATGAAGTTATTTGCGAAAAAAAACTCAAACCCCAGGCTCGGGGTCGTTGCCCTGACCTCTGACCTAAGGTCACGAAAACTATCCTCTCTTTTTTCTGGGCCCGCTACACAACCGTGTTCGTAATTTTTCTTCATACTTGCAGGATAAAGATGTCAAACGGATACCAACAAACCGATACCAACTTGGTATTTGGTATTTCAATCCTAATGTACTTGGTATTTTGTTGGTATTATGAACCCTCACTAATGTAGCAGAAGGCTGAGAAATTGGTGCTATTTCCCTCATGTTATGAAGTTGGTTCGGTATCGGTATTTCCTTACGATTTATGTTGGGATTTGGTTTGGAATCAGTATTCAGATGTTCTGTAATTGACATCTTTATTGCAGGATATAGGAGTCTAGAAAAATCAAGCATGTGACGTCATCAAGGGGGCTAGGTCCAACTTTTTACTACAGAAGATGTTAAATTGATGGGAAAAAGCTACTGAAAGTTTCGTTTTCCTATTCCTATGTGTTCGGGAGCTTTCGTTAATATTCGCCAGGGGGCTGAAAACGTCCCCCCCTGGCCCGCACAATTTAACCCGGCAGGCGGTGGGCCTACATGCCACCTTCCGCGCGGTGGGGGGGGGGCATTTTTTTGCCCCCCCCCCCCCGTATCTCCGAAACTATTGGACAGATCCGGAAAATTCAAACGGCGTTCGATAGCCCTGTCAAATTCTTCGCGGGAAACCAAATTTCATTGAACTCGGGGTCACCGATGACCTCACAGGTCAGGTCAAAGATAAAATGTTTCACCGTTCACGGGGCTTCTAGGGAAAGCGCTATAACACCGAGTAAAACGCATTTTGTCGAAAATCAGCGATGAGGCGTCAGTTGTCTAGTACATATGTTGCTATTAGAGGTCACCGGTCATACCAGGTCAGGTCACAGGTCAGGTCACCAAAGGTCACCAAGGGTCACCACATGAGCCCAACTTTACTAAGGTTATGCGATGCATGTTTTATGGCCAGTTTTTCATTTCCAACTCAATGGTGTTGGTTATAAGACCATCAGGTACGGTTTAGGTCACTTTCTGGTGGAGGTCAGGTCAAGGTCAGGTCAAAAAGGTCAAATTTCAAAGTTGATATTTTTGCATAAAATGGGTATCGATTCGATGCAGCTCGTCACGGGGAGTCTAATGGTGGTCTTTGTTTTGCGCTACGAGGTCTAGAATTGCTAAAAATTGAGTTTGAAAATTTGACGTCATCAATTTTGAACAGTTTTTTCGCTATAACTTGGCCAAAAAAAGAGGTATCGATCTCAAATTTGGTATGTAGATAGAAGGCGGTAGGTACTATCACATATATTCCGTTTTTTCGAAATTCAGAAAACTTTTTGGATTTTTTGGCAATTATATTAAAAAAATCTATTTTTTTAATTTTTGAAGGTCAAAATCCAAAAAAAATCGAAAAACTGAAATAGCAGTTTTGTAGCCCTTTTAATTCCACACCTTTTATGTCTTAAACATTTTTCTGTATCTCTAAAGCTGTAGGCCTGACAGCTCTTCCCGCGAAACTTTTTTTTTGGTCGAAAATGGCAAAAATGACGTCACTCTGACGTCATTAGCGGCCAACCTATCATAGCCTTTGGAAAAAGTTTTGGTCAGAATGTGCGCTAGCTGCTCCCGGGAGGGTACTGAAAGTTTGGTGACGATCGGCGCAGCGGTTCTCGAGATATATTGAAAAAACTAAAGGGGGGGGCAAAAAAAATGCCCCCCCCCACCGCCTGGAGGGTTAATTGTATATCGGCACGATTTGGTCTTTCCTGAACTTTCTATGAAGTCGTAGGGCGAACGAAAATGGACAAGGATGATTATGTGACTTCAAATGTATGACATACCTTCATTACGACCCTAATGCTTATTCACTTGGCAGCATGTCGTTCCACTCGTGACGCCATATGTCTTTTGGTTGGTCGAGGGCGCGGGTGTTACGAATGGGATCGACAGAAACTTTTGACACTAACTACAACTTCTTATTCAGAAATATGAGTGGCAACTTTGGGCTTTTCTATGAATCCGTATTGGGAGCGTATCGTCGAAGAAGTAACGAGGAAAACAAAGTATCTCATCCCCTCCCCCCCCCCCCCCCCCCATCAGCGACTGGTGTTTCGCGCGGAGGCCCAGCCACTGCTTGATTATATAGTGCGGAATATTGCATCGGACCGACTATGCATCGCTGCGAAGCTGGCCCAGATGTGGTCCGTGCTTTGAGCTGGTTCGCGGATTGTCTTGTCTTGTAAGTGAATCGATCGAATTAGGGATGACTTACTGATAAACAGCCGTCCCAAAGCCTCCTTGTCCCAGAAGGTTCTTCCGATTACACTTGATGGAGCCGACATGAATCACGTCTCCTTTATAAACCTGTTGACAAATATGTAAAAATTATTATTTCCGCTCTGTGGTACACAGGCAAAAACAGAAAATAGTTCCGTGGTTTTATCCAAAGATAGATTTGATTATTTGAACAAGGCAGTGTCTAAGTACCTATTGTATGTATGTATGTATTTACCGAATAAGGTCGCTCCACTGGTGCAGGGCTATTCTGCGACCTTCGTCATATACAATGCAATATGAGCACACAATGAACACTTCATAAAAGACACCTAATAAGACCGATCAATACAGTGGACCTAATATGACACAAAATACACGACCGTTGTGTTCAATGGCTGGTTAGGTCATCACGGATAGATGCCTTGATACTGCGCAGTGACATGTGATCTCTGTCCCTGGCGATCACCATTCGGTTGTACAGGTCGTACAACCGATTGCATTGTTATCGTGTCGCAAAACTCCAAACGTGCATACATTTGGATGCAGCCATTTTTACTTACCTCTTTCTCAACTCGCAGCTCGGAAGAAACCTGGCCTCCCATCGACAGCTTTCCAGAGAAACCGTCTGTCTGGAAAGGGTTCAAAGTTTTTTTCATGTACTAGGGTTGTCTAAAATAATGGAAATGATAGCAATGATAAGTTTTTGCACGTGCATGCGTTTGTTTCATGTCATCACACACACCGATGTTTTTTTTTCCAATGATGAAGACCCGATGTCTTTATCTTCATTCCGCACTGAGCTATCACCGTTTTTCCGAGAGACCCCCTTATCCTGTGGCGCACCATAAACAGAGCCTGGAAATGGACAAAAGCGCGTGCCAGCGCGGTGCGAGGTCCTCAGAGGTCAGTTTGTGGTAGGAATAAGTTCTGCCGAGATAGGAGATTTCTTTTGAGAAAGTGTGTGGAGCGACTGTAGCCTCTCTACAGACGATATATAGGTGGTGTCATCGATTTCAAAAGGGGAGGGGTGCTGACATCGTGGACAGGCAGCGTCCGGGGACACCCAAGAGAGTGCACATGGCGCATGCGCGAGACCAAATGGGGAAAATGATCGTAGGCGATAGGCCATTAGATATACGCGATATGACAATCAGATATGAGCTAGTGAGATATGGCAATGAGCTGCTGAGTTCTGATAACCTGGCGATGGTGCGCAATTTTGGTCATTGCCCGGCTCCTTTTTTATGGTGCGCCACAGGTTTAGGTGGTCTCTTGGGAAAACGGTGATAGCTCAGAGCAGAATATAGCTTAGCCCTCGCCCCGCTGGGAGGGGGCAATTTGCCCCCCCCCCCCTGCGCTTTTTCCTGAATAGCAGGAAAACGGCGGCGCGCAGCGCCGCAAAATTTGTAAGTAACTTCTCGGGCATCAATTTAACACCGTCACACAACATTTGAAGTCTTAGGTCACCTTAGGTCAGGAGTTATTGAGGTCAGACTGAGGTCATGTTCGAGCAAAAATGAGCAAAAAACATGAAATCTTGAAACGCTCACAAAAGCTACAGTTGCCAAGCAATTTCAAAGTTCTTTTTATGGTCATGTAGACAAAAGACGGCGCTAAGAAACTGCAATCTTGGATTTTCGAAATTTTGGGATTTTGACCCCAAAAATCTCAAAAAAGTATTTTTTACGCAAACAATCCCATTTTTCCGAATTTCGAGAAAATGGAATATATGTAATAGTCCCTGCGCTCTTATATACACATACCAAATTTTAGATCGATACCTCCTTTTTAAGCCAAGTTAAAGGGAAAAAAAACTTCAAAATTGATGACGACAAATTTTTTAACTCAATTTTTAGCAATTCTAGACCACGTAGCGAAAACCAAAGACCACCATTGAACTCCCCGTTGCGAGCTGCATCGAATCGATACCCAGTTTCTGGAAAAATATCAACTTTGAGATTTGACCTAATTTGACCTGGCCTTGACCAGAACATAATTTAAATGACCCCAAAGGCTGCCTGACCCACATAATCGTATTTGGCATATAAAATGGACCATAACACATGCATCACATGATATTTTCATATTGTGACCCTCAGTGACCTGACCTGGTACCAGTGACCTCAAATAGCATTAATGTGTTTGACGAACATTTCCCCATCGATGATTTTCAATGAAATGTATTTTACTCGATTTTACAGCGCATTTCTTGAAATGCCTGTAAACGGTGAAAATTCGACATTTGACTTGACCTGTGACGTCATCGGTTAGACCGAGGTCAATGAAATTGGGTCACAAGGTAGTTCCCCGTTGGGGCTATCCAACGCCGTTTGCTGCTTGTCGCTATGTTGCGTGGTTCTCGAGATCTTAGGGGGGGGCAAATTGCCCCCCCCCCCTCCAGCAGGGCGCGTTGCTCGGCAGACCCCAACGGGGCGCGGGTTAAGACATCTGGTCTTCACCAGTGGAAAGAAAAAACATTGGCGCATGTGTTGGCACTAAAAAATGCATGCACGTGCAAAAACCTATCATTGCTAAGGGCACTTCCATTATATAATAGTCAACCCTTGTATCTCGGTTTATTCACTTCACACGGCCATAGGCGGCGGAACGATTTGAGACAAGGGGGGGGGGCACCAGCTCAAGGAGCCAAACCTAGGGTACCCCCAAATCCTGTTTTCTCATCGGATTTAGGCCACTTATTTTTCGTCACAGCCCTGACACGATGATTTTTTTTTACTAAACGAAAATGGCAGTTCACCCCCGTATGTGTGGTTAACTTTAAGCTGATCCTCAAGTACCTATGTGTTTATCTCTTCCTTATTATCGTTTGATAAATTCCATTAATCCTACATGTATCAAATTACCAAGAAGCCATCCCAGTACTAATCAGTGGCGAATCCCAGGGGGGAGGTCACATGGGTCATGACTTTGGGCCTGGAGTCACCACATGCCTGCCAGGAGCACCACAGGCTTGACAGCCGACAGGGGCACCACAGCACGGTCTTGCCGAACACCAGTTTAGCGCGAATTTAATCAAAAACCCGGCTTTCGACAAACTGTTACTTATACCTATCAATGGGTAGGAAATTGTCTGAAGTTATCGGATAGAACCGTATTTTTAGGCCACGTTGCCATTTGAGGACTTACATCCATGCCGAAACTGGACCCACGCTCCGGTTCCTGAAATCGGGCTATGATGGTGAAAAATAAGTCCAGTTTTCAATGTAAATGTAACTGAAATTTCGAAAAGAAATATGAGAAAATAGCATATCACCGGAAAGCACAATTCATCATGAAGCTGTTGCTGTTATCAAGATAACTCTCTGATGAATGGTTTGCGACTTTAATGAGTTAGAACGGTAGCCCTGCATGAGTATCGTTCTCAAAATAGTATTTCATAAAGAAGATGAAAAATATCAAAATGGATAAAAATGGATATGACGAATAGGGCATGGCGGAACACCCTGCACATTTCTGAACATGAGCGAGCAAGTTTCGGCTGCTACCTTTTGCAACCTTGGCGTCAATTCAGCTTTGAACATGTCTAGTCGGCCGCCCGGCGTGACCTGACCAAGGTCGGGGGCGGCGCGACCGGACAGGCTCCAGCCTAATAAACTATCTCAAGCACACGAAATCGTGATTTCATGCACTTCTTGCGAGGTTCCAAGCTTCACCTTTGCATTGTTGGCCTTACGTGACGTCGGGTAATAAGAGTTTTTCGTCAATAACTCCTGAAAAAATTGAGTTAGCGAGTCGGGAAAGCCACCACTGGACTCAGGAAAATCTGCCGAATCGAATGATATGCAGCATGACCTCCTTCAACTAGCTTCGTGATCTGGAGGGCTTTGACCTGACCTTGACCCGAGGTCAACACTTGAAGTTGACTTCAGCCGAACAAAAAGTATGCCATTCGACACATCTGAGCGAGGCGAACACGATGATGCCAAAATTGCGACTCTGCGACGTTTTTTTCACGAAGTTATTAATAAAAACGAATACGTGCCTTGGGCCACTTGACCTGACCTCAGAGGTCACAAGTTAACATGAGACCTTAACCCTATTCCTGGCGGGCTCCGCCGGGACAAGAAACTGGCGGGGGGGGGGCCGATTCGGCCCCCCCCCTGAGATCTCGAGAACGAAGCAAGATAGCGACAAGCGGTAAACGGCATCGGATACGCACGGCCAAGATCTACAATTTTTACAAAGGTCATTTTCAGGTCAGGTCAAAGATGACGTCACAGGGGTCGAAAAAGTCAAAATGGCGGCACTAGATATGGAGAGAGTTTTTCTCGAATAACTTTCGAATTAGTCAAGATAGGAACAAACTAAGGGCATCATTGTGATCCTCTCGTCAATCCGCATCGAATGATATATATGTTGACCTCGAAAGGTCAAGGTTAAAGGTTGACCTCAGGTCACGTGACCTCGAGGTCATCATGTATATCATTCGATGCGTCTTGACGAGCTGAACACAATGAGACCATCCACGCGTCTGTATCTTGTTCCTGTACGGAGTTATTGGCCAAAAACCTTTGGTGACCTTTGATCACGTCACATGACCTCACAGCTGCCCAACAGCAAAACAGACCTCAAGGTAGTGAAGGTTGATCGTATATGAAGTCATGTATGGTATATGGGGCCATTCCGACCCGTTTTAGTGGTAAAAACAGGGAGTTGATTTTTCCCCCATTGACTTATAATGGGGAGGTCGCGAAATTGACCTGACCTTAGGTCACCGATATCAAAATTCCGAGATATACAAATTGCACATACTGGTACCCTAACTAAACCCTGAAGAGAAGAAATTGATCGGTCAAAAACTCTAGCTCTGGCGTGATTGCAAACTTTTCTGAGGTAGCGTCACCAAACCGCCTCTGGTGACCTGACCTGAGGTCAGATCAACTCAAAATTTTCAGACATGTTGCGTAGAAGCCTTTTAGGAAAAGTCAGAAAATTTGAGCTTCCTAGCTCAACGCGTTTGGGAGATATAACCAAAAAACCTCAGGGGGGGGGGGGGCTCCTGAGGCCCCCCCCCCCCGCCAGGAATAGGGTTAAAATCGGATACCAGTCACTGCGTCTCGTAACGGCGCACACGCTCGTTTTTTCCGCAAGACTCTAGCTCCATCAGGGGCGAAACAGCGACAGGTGGCGTAACAACCTCGGCGCGGCCGGCGCGTATTTTGAAAACCAATAGGTCCGGCGAGGGGTAAGTGTCAGTTTTGGAACCAGAGAACCATTTTCAGTGGATCCGAGCGGCGCTGTGATTAAATTCGCGCTAAACTAGTGTTCGGCCACACTGTGCACAGGGCCGCCAGGGGTACCATAGGCCTAGCAGGGGCACCAAGGGCCTGTCAGTGGCACCACAGGCCTGTCAGGAGCACCATCGGCCTAGCAAAAGCACTACAGGTCTTCCAGGGGCACCACAGACCTGCCAGGGGCACCAGAGGCCTGCCAGGGACACTATCGGCTTCGCAGGGGAACCGCCGGCCTCGCAAGGGCACCATGGGCCTGTCAAGGGCACCACAAGCCTGGCGGATTGTCAGGGGCACCACAAACCTGTCAAGGGCACCTGCGTTCTAACAGGGGCATCACAGGCTCGCCAGGGGCACCACAGACCTGCCAAGGC